GCACTCTCTGGGCCTGGCGGCCGCGGTATGCGGGGTGTGCGGGTCGGATCGGAAGGCAGTGGAGGAACAGCTGCCCATACCGCTACCCTCGCCTCGTTTTCCCATTTTTGGGCCTCCTGGGAGGCCCTCGTCGCCACCGCTGGATTCGCCTCGAGATCCTGGTCAGGGCTCACCCCGGGAGAGGTCCGGAGAGTAGCGGTATCGGTGTCTTTCGGTTTCCCAAGGAATTTGAACGCCCGAAATGGGCACGGAAAAATGGGTACGATGCCCAACAACAGATGTTGTCCCAAACCGACAGCGGCCGCTGTTGGGCAGGCGGCGCTTTGTCTTCAATGGACAACGTCCTCGGCGGCGTGGACAGCAAGTCCTGTTCAAAATAAACAGGAATTGTTGTCGGTCTTCGTAGCCGTTCTTTCATCACCAATTTCGATCGTCCCGAAGGAAGCTCTTTTCTTCGGGTCTGACAGCCCCAGCCTGTCGGTTGGGGAACAAGGGGATGAGGCACCCGACGGACAGCATCGAGAGACAGAACGACTGCATAAGCGTAAACTGTCGAAGGTTTTGGACCCTCGCAAGAGGGGGGTGCTGACTGTGTGTGTGCATGTCATGGCTGGGCCATGATACCTCCTCGGGTTTCATGGCTTTCGGCTTCTTTCAGCACCTTCCCTGGTTTCCCCCCTCGTCTGCGCACATGCCTCGGGCCATGATTTGCGAACCCCCCTCTGGTGCATCCCCCTCTTGGACGCCCCCGATTCATCAGAAGAGCGAAGAGATGCCGCTGCTCGTCCTCCTCGTCGTCGTCGTCGTTATCGGTCGTCCTCGTCGCCGTCCTTGTCGTCGTCGTGGTCGTCGCCTTCGCCGTCGTCGTCGTTGTCGTCGCCGCCGCTGCCGCCGCCGCTGCCGCCGCCGCCGCCGCCGCTGCCGCCGCTGCCGCCGCCGCCGTCGTCGTCGTCGTCGTCGTCGTCGTCGACGTCGTCGTCCGTCTTCGTTGGCATCGTCGTCGTCGCCGTCGACGTCGCCGTCGCCGTGGCTGGACTCGCCTCGAGATCCAGGCCCGAGCGCGCTCCTGGAGAGGCCTGTGGAGCAGCGGCACCGGTAGGCTTCTGCTCTCGGCAGCCCTGGCCCACTCCCTGCGTGCACGGCGCGCTGCCGGCCCTGCCGACCCTGCCGGCAGGGAGCTCCCTCCGAGCGCGCCGGCTGGCTTTGGTGGAGCACACCTCGCTGCCGGCGCTGCTGCTGTGATGAAGTCGGGCCTGTCCCTCTACAGGAGGAAGGTTAAGCAAAAACAGTCAAAAGTAGTAAGGGCACGCTTTTTTTGTTTTTGTTTGATGATTTGTTTTTTTTTCCCCCCTTCTCATTTTTAGCCCCAAATCTGCCTGTAGAGGGACATGCCCGACCTATGCTAGGACCACCGAGCGCGTTCCACTACTCGCAAAGTGCCAAATTACTCGCACACGTCAGAAGACACATATGTTTGCCTCGATGAGGTATATTGTGAGTCCCGCGCGGCGGATCCTGGCCATTTGCGAGTAGCTCCTCTGCGAGTGGTGGAGCGCGCTTGTCCACAGGAACAGTGCTGCGAGCCAGCGCAGCAGCGCTGCGAGCCAGCGCGACAGCTTCCTCGGCGCGCCTCCGAGGCCCGACCCTCGAGTGGGCTCCTCCTCGAGCAGTGCCGCGTCCTGCTTTTGCCTCGGCTACGCGTGAGCGTCACCCTTCGCAGAGGAGTGACCTCCGGTGCCGGCCCGCGGGGCCCCCCCCCCGATCAGCCTCGGCTGGCGCGCTCGGACCTGCCCGCCCCGTGGCCCCCTCCGGCCGCGAACCGAAGGTCGCTCTTGCCCGGGGCCACTGCTGCGTGTCGCCGATGCTGCGCGGACGACGCGTGTGCACCGTACCGCGCTGGCGCCCCTCGAGGCGTCGCTGGTCCTCGACCCAGGACGAGTACCAGTGCGGTGCGCAGCAGTGCTTCGGCTTTCACAGCCGAGAAGCTTATGCGCACTGTACCGCGCTGGAGCGGGGCCTCGAGTGAGTCCAAGCATGGTACGGCACACGGGTGCCATTCTCGTGCGATATGTCGTCTTGAGGGTGCCGGCGTTGTTGCCAGGGAGTTCGCCGTGAGCTTGCCGGCTCGCTGCTGGCGCACATCGCGCTGCCAGCGAGGCCAGGAGGACGCTCACGCTGAGCAGGGTCGTATGTCACATAAGAACCATGTTCAGTGTCTTCCCAGGTCCAGTTGGTCTCCGTTACGAATCATGATCACCCTCCTCCTCCTCCTCCTCCTCCTCCTCCTCCTCCTCTTCCTCATCATTATTAGCAGCAGCATCAGCATGATCATCAGCATCAGCATAATGGCCGTCATGAACGTAGTCATGGTCGTCATCACCGTTGTCATCATCATCGCCATCGTCATACTCATCTTCCTCCTCATCTTCGTTATCTTCGTCATCATTGTCGTCATCATCATCAGCTCTTCATTTTGACTGTCATCATCGTCGTCGTCATCATCGTTAACATCATCGTCAACAGCATCGTCAACATCATCATCATCATCATCATCATCTCATCACCATCAGCATCATCACCATCACCATACTCATCACTACCATCATCATCGCCATCACCATCATTAACATCATCATCAGCATCATCACTTTCATCATCATCAGCAGCATCATCAGCATCACCAACAGCATCATCATCATCTGCCGCTGGGTGCGAGGTGCTCAGGGAATCGGTTGGGCTCGGCCAGCTGTCGAGGTTTCTCTCCAGACTGTCTCTGATGCGCCAGACCGTCGTCAGCATCATCATCATCATCATCGTCATCATCATCATCATCATCATCATCATCATCATCATCATCATCCTCATCCTCATCCTCATCCTCATTCTCATCCTCATCCTCATCCTCATCCTCATCCTCATCCTCATCACCATCACCATCACCATCACCATCACCATCACCATCACCATCATCATCAGCATAGTCATCGTCATCGTCATCGCCATCATTGTCATACTCGCCATTACCATCAACAATATAGTCCTGATCATCGCCGCTGTCGTCGGCATCATCATCGTGACATCGTCATTCGCAGCTTGCCCATCCACATGCTCACGACACTCATCACCATCAGTCTTACCATCATTATCATCTTCATCTTTATTTTACTGCCCTTTCGACGCGTCCTGAGATTTCTCCTTCTTTGCGTGTCTCTGCCAGCCTGCCCAGGATGGGCGACTTCGTTCGCTCGGCGTCCTTCTCGAGGAGCCGCAGCGTAGCTCGGGCAGCACGGCGGAGAGGCGTCACTGCGGGTGAGCCCGGTCAGGCCGAAGGGGAAACGGTTGGAGGGTGAAGCAGAGAGGCAGATCAGGAGGGGCCTAGATGTTGTGTTGTTTCTTGCTCTTCGTGGCTGCCCTGCCGCTCATGCTTCGAGCCGCCATCCCTGTCGCCTGCGCACTGCTCCAGCGTCTTCCTGCGGTGTGCTTTCCCCCCTCCTTGTTCGTAGGGAAACTACAAGGTCACTCCCCGGACCCCTCCCGGGGTGCGTTCTGATCGGAATTTCGAGGCGACTCCAGCGGAGGCGACGTGGGTTTCCCAGGAGGCCCGAAATGCGGAAACGAGGGAATGGTGGCCGTATGGGTACCTTTTCCTCCTCTGAGTTCTCCGCCTTCCCCTTCACTCTTCTCTGCAGAAGGCATCTGCCTATACACCACTGGCATGCTCAGCCAGGGCCCCATCCTGGGCTTTCGGGCGGTGCAGACATCGGGGGGCCACCGAGCGGGTTATGGATAGTATTGCCAGGGTCACGAAAATCTCGCGGATTTCATGGTCCCCTTTTCTCAGAGGCAACGATAAGGCGGTATAGGCATAGAGGGGACGCATCGACTTTCAATCGCCCATTGACCGCCGACAGGGGCCCGATAGGCCAAACCCGCTTAGAAACGTGCAGTTATCAGGGGCCTATCGCCCATCTATCGGCGATGTATCATCGATTCCAGGTCGATGTGTCCTCCCGTCCATGCCAGTCCTCCCTGTCGTTGCCCCCCAACTCTTCATCTTGTTTGTGCCTTCTCCTTTCAACACGTCCTTCGGTTCCCCCCCTCGTCCGAGCACATGTCTCGGGCCATGATTGGCCCCTCTTTGGACGCCCCCCTCTTGAACGCTGTCAAATACACCCTCCTGGCCAATGCCAGAATGGCGCATTCACCATGCGAGGACCCACGATGGCCCTGGCCAGGCACTGTGGTGGTGGTGGTGGTGTACAGATGCCTTCTGTCGTCTTCTTCTTCTTTTCAACATTACTTGTCTGATTATCCTCCTCATCCTCTTCCTCCTCTCTCCTTCTCCGTCTCCTTTTCCTTCTCCTGCTCCTACTCCTCCTCCTCCTCCTCCTCCTCCTCCTCCTCCTCTCCTACTCCTTCTCCTCCTCCCCCTCCTTCCCCTCCCTCCTCCTCCTCCTCCTCCTCCTCCTCCTCCTCCTCCTCCTCCTCCTCCTTCTCCTCCGCCTCCCTCTCTTCTACCCGCACTTCCTCTCCTCTTCTCCTCCTTCTCCTCCTCCTCCCTCGTCTTCCTCCACCTCCTCTTTGTACCAGGAATCTGGCTGAGTATGCACGGCGCGGTCAGGCTGGGCGAGAGCTGTGCTTCCGTCGCTGTGCCCAGATGTGTGGTGCTTCCGGCGCCCGGCCCTTCCGTGGCCGCCGTGAACGCCGGGCTGCCGCGAGTGTGTCCTGCGAGTGGCCACCAGATAGTCTCCACGTGTGGGTCCAGCCGTTCGTGCTTCCAGCTTCCGGGTGCTCCTAGTCCTCCCAGACTCAGATAAGTCGGGCATGTCCTTCTACAGGAGGAATATTAAGAGATAGTCCAAACATCGTCAGGGGACGATTTGTAATTCATTGTTTGTTGCATTGTTTGTACTTCGTGTATACATTTGTTCAATTCTTCCTGCCAGTACTAAGAAGGGAACATCGGTACAAACACCAACAACGTTGCTTTTCAGGAGACATGCGAAATATGGAAAACGGATGGGAAGAGGAATAGTCTGGAAATAAGACAAATTATGGGACATCCTGGAAATTGTGCTGATTTCTGCGTGGCTCCGAGGACCCCTTGGCACACGCGAACTTCCCGTCCTTTCTCCCTGGCCTCTTTCGCTCCCCCTCCTTGTCCTTCCCTTCCCCCGCCAGTGCTCCGCACTACTCTTCTTCGGAGCGAGCGAGTAGACGCACGCGTGCGTACTTGTTCGTGGGGCTCCAGACACTGCCTGTGTCGCGAGCGTGCGTAGCACGAGGTTGGCCTCCCAGGCTGAGGCGGCCGTGTTCGTATGCGTGGCTGGGCACGCACGTCTCTGGTGGGTTCCCCTGCCCCCCCCCGCCCCCGTAGTCATGCCCGGTTGGTGCCCTAGCGCAGGACGCGGCCTCCCAAAGATCGGCGGCGCGCTCGGGGGGGAAATGAGAGGGGGCAGGCCTCTTCAGAAGGCGGCGGGGCTTCTCAGAAGACCTCCGGCCTTCTGATTTACCGCCGCTGTCTTCGATTCAAGGCTCAGGCAAGCTCTCACAAGGCCCGAGGCCTTCATTCTCCCCCCCTGGACTCGCCGCCGCAAAGAGGGCTAGAACATCCGGGCGTCTGCTCAGGGATAGCCCAGCGCCGGCCCACAAGATTCGGAGGAGGAGGAGGAGGAGGACGACGACGACGACGCCGAGGACAACGACGACGACGAGGAGGACGGCGAAGAGGACGACGACGACGACGACGACGACGACGACGACGACGACGACGACGACGACGACGACGACGACGGCGGCGGCGGCGGCGGCGACGACGACGACGACGACGACCAGGACGAGGACGAGGACGAGGACGAGAAAGAGGACGAGAAAGAGGACGAGGGCACGAGCACAGAGGGGGGGAGACGAACGACGAGGGCGACCCGCCCCCGCTGGCCCCGCGCAGGACCCTGCGGCAGAACGTCGCGCGCTACTTCGAGATCCCCGAGGAGCGGCAGGCCATTTTCGACGACGACGGCCTGCTGGCCACCGCAGGACAGCCCTGGCAACTCGTTCGCGGGGGCCGTCGACGCCGCTAGTGCCCCTGCTCCTCTCTTCCCTCCTCCCTCCTTCCTCCTCCCTCCTCCTCCTGCTCCTCCTGCTCCTCCTTTTCTTCCTCCTCCTCCTTCTCCTCCTCCTCCTCCTCCTCCCTCCTCCTCCCCCTCCCTCCTTCCTCCTCCCTCCTCCTCCCTCCTCCTCCTCCTCCTCCTCCTCCTCCTCTTCCTCCTCCTCCTCCTCCTCCTTCTCCTTCCTCCTCCCTCCTCCCTCCTCCTCCTCCCTCCTCCTCCTCCTCCTGCCATTCTCCCTTCCTCCCCCCTCCTCCTCCTCCTCCTCCTCCTCCTTCTCCTCCTCCTCTTCCTTCTCTCCTCCTCCTCCTCGTCCCCTCACTGCCCTCCTGCGCCTCCCTCCTCCTTCCTCCGCCTTGCCCCCTCCCTCCTCTCACTCCAGTCGCGAGTTCGTCAGCCAGGTGCACCCTGCCCCCTCGCCTCTGGGTCGACCTTTCTGAGTCAGCGGTCGGCCCCTCGGGGGGCGATGAAGGGACGTCTTGGCGCGTTCGCCGTTGCGACACGCGTGCGTCGTGCATCGTCCAGGGCGGGCTGGCCGTCTCGCCCAGGAGCATGGCCGTGTGGGCGGTGCACCGCGATGCTCAGGCCATGGCTGCTCAGGCTCGCCGGCAGGGCCGTCGTGCACTCGCTGTTGCCGCAGGCCCCGTGCCTGGGCGTGGCCCTCGGAGCCGGGCGCAGGGCGGCGGCGAGCCCGTGGCGTCGCTCGGACGGGTGCACTTTCCCGGCGAGGGCTATCGAGGAGCATCCTGGACCATCGAGCCAAAATCGGGGGCGGCAAAGAGGGGGGTGATGACTAGGGGGGGGGTGGATATCATGGCGGGGGCCATGATATTTCCTCAGATTTTATGGCGCCCCTTCCTATTCCATTACGTCCCTGGCCCCCCCGCTGGGCCGCGCACATGCCGCCGGTCATGATTTGCACCCCCCCCTCTTGGACACCCCCCTCTTGACCGCTCCCGACAAAAAACAACACGCACGAAATCGACAACTGCACGGGGAATGGACGTCCGAGCGGTGGCGGGAGCCACGCGCCGCCAGCGCTTCGTCCGCTCGGGCAAGTTCCACTTCAGGGCGCGCGGCTTCGCTCGAGCATCCAGGCGACACCGAGTGTGCCTGAGGCTGGAGAAGACGTCGTGCCAGGCCAGCGCCCACGAATTACGGCCACCAGGTCCACGGCGTCTACGGCCAGGATGTGGTGGGCGCTTCGGCGCAGGATGGCGGCGGTGCCTGGGCCGACCCAGAGTGGGCGGTGCTTGACCTCTCCCAGCTCCAGCTGCGTGTGGGCGGTGGCGATCCCGCGCGGAAGCTTCCTCGCGAGCTTCTCGAATGATGGTTCACGGTGTGGCAGGCCAGTCAAGGCCGGCGCCAGAGGATCATGCAGGCTTGGCCGAGGGTGTTGCCGACGGTCCGTGACGTTGAGGCCCCCCAGTGGCGCCGCCACATTCGCAGGCCCACATGTCAGCGCTGTTGGTCACTCTGATGTTTCACGACTGGTACCCAGCAGGGCCCATGCGATGTGCTCGTCTTCTCCCCGACGGCGGACGCGAGATGTGGACATCTCCCGTCGCAGATGCCCTGGCTGATGGATCTAGTCGGCAGTCGGCAGCTCGTACAGGCGTTCGACGACACATTTGTGAGCGATCTGTGGCGCGATGCTGCAGCGCATTGGTGTGGTGGAGGCTTGGAAGGCGGCGCAGATCTTGGGCCTTCGGCGTTTTCTTCGGCAGCTGCGTCAGCTCCCAGGAGGGCGTCGTCTGGAGGAGGTCATGGTCACCAGCGCGGTTGGCGGCACGTGGCCTGGATCTCGATAAGCCGATGCAGAGTTTTTCCAAGACAGCCAGGTCGAGGAGTTGTTTGGAAGGTGCTGGCACGCGATCGAGTCTCCCTTCCACTGCGATTGGGGCTGCGAGTGTAATGCTGGCTCTGAGGCGTACGCGGCCAGCGAGCCGTTCATTTATAGAGCGTATGCTGAGGTCGACGCCGTCCCTTGCGTCTGGCTCCACGGCCTGGTCCCGAAGCCATGGGCGGCTGTCAGCCCGCCTGCTCATGCGGAGGCCTGGGCTATCAGGGCGTCGACAACATGCTCCTCGGTCACGGCAAGGAAGAGCGGACCCCCCTCTGTTCTCGTTCGGGGATGCGAGCGGCGGGCCTGTGTGGAAGTTCCCCGAGCTGCGTCGCGTCCGAGGGGGGGCCGTTGTCTTGGACAGCGCCTTCGTGCACACGGCCCAGGCGATGCACCGACCGCTCCCTGGCAGGAGGCAGACGGTCCCTCGTGGCGAGCTGTTGGCGCTGACCCGATGTGCAGAGCGCACGTCGGGATGCGTCGTCCCTTCCACCGACCACTCGGCGGTGCACGCCGGCCGGTGGCAGCAGCTCCCGCGGAACCCCCACGGGCCTCGTCGTGACCCGTGCTGGAGCTCGGGCCGGGCGCTCCAGCAGCGGAGCCCCGAGGGTCGATGGGGCCATCGCGGTCAGCCTCGTGAGCTCGCACCCCGATGCGGAGCGCGTGGTGCAGCGGGGGGCGTCGTGGGCGCCTTGGTCCGCGGCAGTGCTGCTGCCGACCTTGCCGCCGGCTGCGCTGCCGAGGCCGTTCGCCTTCCAGCAGCAGGCCGAGGCGATGGCGATGAAGGCATGGTGGCGGCTGCTGCGGTCCACGCTCGACGTGCTGGACGTGGCTCCGCGGCGCCGGGCCATGGCTGTACGCCGCGCCAGGCTCCGCCTGCTGCTGATTTCGCCGCTGCTTTTTTTCCGCGGTGCACGTGCTGGGCGCGGACAGCCGCACTCGCTTGGCCTGTTGCGGCCCGGCATCGACGGAGAGGTGCACGGAACGGCTCGGGACGCGCTGCTGGCCGCTGGTTCTTCGAGGCGATGGAGAACTGGCGCTGCCGCCCCGGGGCGGGTGCATCCACATCGGGGGCCATGCGGCCCACAAGGCGGTGCTGCTGGAGGCTCTTGGAGCGTGGCAGTGCAGCGCCCGCGGATTCTTCACCCCCGCAGGCGGTCGCGCCCTCGGCGCATTCTTCGCCCTGGCGGCAGCTTGCCCGCCCGCGCAAGCCCCGGCGCTGGTTCCTGCCGCGTCCGGCCGCGCAGCTGCGGGCACGGCTACTGCCCGCCAGGGCCGGGCCTGTGTGGCGGCCAGCACCGCGTCGGCGGCGTGCCGCTGGAGTACGCAGCCCAGGGCCTGCTGGAGCTTGCGGATGGCCGCCGACCGTACGACCTCGTCAGCTGGCGCCAACCGCTTGGCGAGGGCCGCTGCTTCCTCGCCCAGCCGCCCGTGGTCCTCCACGACAAATGACACCACGGGTACCAGCGGGTGGCGGGCTCGCTTCCTCCGCTCCGAGGCCGCCGCCGCCGCCCCGTCCCTCCTCGCAGCCCCTAGCGCCAGGGCGTCCTGGGAGACCGCGCTGACAACCGTGAGATCGACGTACAATCGGTTCAGCGGCGCCCGGTGCATGAATCACCAGGTCCATGCGCGCCTCGGGGCTCTCTTGCGAAGCGTACGGGAGCAGCACCTCGCGGTGCACGGAGCAGCCCTCCTCCTCCTCCTCCTCCTCCTCCTCCTCCTCCTCCTCCTCCTCCTCCTCCTCCTCTCGCTCCTTCTCCATTTAGTTTCCTTGTGAACAACTCCTCCCTGTCGCAAATCGAGGACGATCGAAATGGCGGCCCGGGCGTTCCACCCGAGGCTTCCTCACCATGTATGAGCCCCCCGGCAAGCCCGCTCGCCTCCTAAGAAACCCATCCTCCGAAGTCTCAGAGAGGGCTTCTCAGGAGGCGGGCGGGGCTAACGAGGAGCCCCGCTGCCTTTTGGAGACGGCTGGCCTTCTCCTTTTGCTTTCCCTACTGGTCAAGCAGTGGCGAAGCGTCCTGGCTCGCCTATGGGCCGCCAAATAATGTTCTAAGAACCTCTTGTGATTTGCAAGGAATGTTCTCAAGCCATTTTTGGCTGAGTCTGCTTTGTTTTAACACATCGGGCTTCTGTTCTAAGAACTTCGTTTTGGTTATTCGAACATGCCTGGGTTCCAAGAACTTGTCGTGGTAGGCTTATTGGAAAGCCGGGACGGTCGGTCCCTGCTCAATCTGGGCGACCGACGGGTCCACCTCCTCCCTCTCTGCTGGCTCCCCCGGCGGCAAGCCCAGGGGGGACTGCAGCGGGGGCGGGCGTTTTCAGACGGCTCGGAGCCTTGAGATCCTGGCGACTCAATTTTGTTCGAGCCGGGCGTGGTCGCTCAATTTCGGGCCCCAGGACCCTCACAGATCGATCCGGTTCGAAACATGACGCGGAAAGATGGGGTCCAGGGGTCCGGTCGTGATTTTTGGCGATGCTGCGCATTTTTTTGTTCCAGCGTCGGATCTCAGGGATGTCCCCCTGTCGTCTGAGAAGTGTTATAAGCCTACTCCGGAAGCAGAGTCAGGAGGGAAATAAACATACAGATGCAATTAATCGTCGATTCCCCAGAAAGTATTGGAACATATGGGAAATGGGGGGGAAGACAAAAACCCAGAAAATATTGGAACATATGGGGAATCCTATGAGTCCTATGATTTGTGTCTGTTTATTTGTGTGTCCCAGGGCCCCTTCACAGGTACCCTTCCTCTGCGTTATCCTTCCTCGTGCTCGGCGGGGGAGTTGGCAACGGGCCCCCCTCTCCAGTCGACTTCGTCCGCGCCGTGTCGCGGGTGGCGCCGAAGCTGTACGTCTACGACATGCAGGCGATGCAGGAGACCGCCGGGGAGCCACGGCGATTATTTTGCAAACGATGAGCCTTTCGACGTTCGGGTCAGTCCTGTCCTTGCGGGCAGTGAGGCCCGCCCAATCAAGCCGTCCGATTGTTCATTCAGTCAAGCAGTCGGGATGATACCCACTCTGGTCTCGAAGGTGCTTCTGTATTCCTTAGGTGATTAATGGGTTCTCCCTTTGCGTTGCTAGTGCATCATGGCTCAACTCAGGCCTAAGATGGGCTCCGTTCCTTATCGAAGACGCATGCGGCGAGTCACCCACAGCCGTTGTCCCTTTGAGGGACACCTGGGGGGGGAGAGGGGAAGAAGCAGCGGAGGGTGAGTAATGATCAGGCTGACGAGGAGGCCTCTTGAGACTCTAAAGGGCCTGTTACGGGCCTCTTGGCGCCTTCTGGGGGCCGCCTGGGGGCCTCTTGGGACCATTTGGGGGCGTCTTGGAGCCATCTTTGGCCGTCTGGGGTACATCTTGGCCGACTTGGAGGACTTCTCAGACCGTCTTGGAGGCCGTACAGTGGGGACCCATGCCAAGAAACAACCTGCTTGCCTCCAGGGTGCCCTGGGTTCCTTGGGCTTCGATGGTTTTGCCATTGAAAGCGCGACGTTTCCACACCAAACATCCATGGACGTCCTGGGGTCTCAGGGTTGGGTTTCTCGCGGAAGGCTTCTTGTGGACTGGCCTCTATTGTATAGGGGTGGCGTGGCCGACTTGAAGGCCACCTTGAAGGCCATCTTGGACCGTCTTGGGGGGCTCTTGGGGCCTCTCGGGGGCTTCTTGGGGCCGCTCTGGAGGCCTCTAGGCTCTAGGAGGCCTCTTGGGAGCTCCGGGGAGCCCCTTGGGGTTGAGGACTCGAAATGTCTGGGGCCGTGTTTGGGCCCTCTGGGGCCGTCTTGGGCGCCTCTTGGGCCGTCTTGGTAACCTCTTGGGGACCTCTTGGGCCGTCTTGGGGCCACCTTGGAGGCCTCGGGGGCCGTGCGGGAGACTTTCGGCAGCCGTCGAGGGCGCGAGCGCCGAGACCATTCAATACGTTTGGGGAGCAAAATAAAGAAACAAAAAATGCTTGGGGAGCAAATGAGGCGTTCCAGAGACGGCCTCGCCTTTGAGAGGATCGAGTCAGTTGGAGCTTGTTTTCTTCTTTGCTGTTTTTTGCCGATCGGCGCGGGCCCTCGCACCCCCCACCCCCCCTACGGAGTTGATCTTGGCGGTTTCTGGCGCCTGCTTCGAGCAGCTGGGGTCTCCCCCACAATGGACGCACGGTTCCAGACAGTCGCACTAAGCAGAGGTCAGGAGCCAGACCCCACCCCCCTCCTCCCGCCCAATGCCGAAACGCCGAATAAAACAACGTGCGCCAAATGAGGCGTTCAAGAAACGGCCTCGCCTTCGAGGATCGAAGGAGTTGGCATCTCTCCCTCGGCGGAAGTCGGCGGACGGCCGGCAGAAGGGCGGCGGAAGTAAAACGAGGCCGCCTTCGCGGGCGGAAGCCAGCAGAAGCCAACGGAAGTACAAATCGGTCTCCCAAGAGATGGCAGGGTTTTCTTTGTTCAGGGTTCCGGAACCTGCCAGATGGTTCCTGCCTCTTTGAATCCTGTTGTGGGCACTCTTGGAGGCTCGTTAGGGCGTCTTGGCAGGCTTCTTGGACCATCTTGGGGCCATCTTGGTCATCTTGAGGACAATCTTCGACCGTCTTGGGCCGTTCCGTTGGGCCATCTTGACACTGTTGGACTCGGGCAGTTTGGGTTCCAGGGTTCCTCCGCGGCCCACCAACCAACCCGAAGGCCCCAATTTGCCCTCCATTCCCAGTTGGGGGGGATCGTCGGGGAACATTGCAAAAACACGTGTGGCACCCGGAAAACCCCCTCAATCCCGAAATCTGTGTTTTCGGGTCGGGCTAGGGTGGTCTAGTAGGTAGTCAGAGCACTTGGAACTGTTTGTTCCCCAAGCTGTTGTGGAAACTTTTGAGGGAACACTTGGGCGAGGAAGAGATGATGGTGATGACGATGATGATGATAATGACGATGACGATGACGATGATGATCATGATGCTGATGACGATGATCTTGATCATGCTGATCATGATGATGATGATGATGATGATGATGATGATGATGATGATGATGATGATGATGATGTCGGTGGTGATGATGATGATGATGATGATGATGATGATGATAATGATGGCGATGATAATGATGCAGACGCTGATGTTGATGCTGCTGATGATGATGATGGTGATGACGACGACGATGATGATGACGCTGCTGCTGAAAATAATGATGATGATGACGGTAGTGGTGGAGGTGGTGATGATGATGTTGTTGCTTCTGATGATGATGGTGGTGATGATGACGATTATGATGGAGATGATTGTGATGATGATGATGATGCTGACTAAGATGATGATGATGATGATGATGATGATGATGATGCTGATTCTGATGATGATGATGATGATGATGATGATGATGCGGACGTGGCTGTGGACGATGATGATAATTATGATTGCGATGCTGATGCTGATGATGAGGATGATGATGATGAGGATGATGTGGATGGTGCAAATGATGATGAGGACGATGGTGAATCTGATGCTGATGATGAGGATTCTGATGATGGCGATGATGATGCTGATGATGGTGATGCTGATGGTGTTCGTGGTACTGACAACGACAATGCTTATGATGAGGATGATGATATTCGTGATGCTGATGCTTATGGTGATGATGATGCTGATGATACTGATGATGATGATGACGACCAGGATGATGATGATGATGATGTTGATGATGATGATGCTGATGATGCTGATGATGCTGATGATGATGATGCTTCTGATGATGATTATGATGTGGCTGCTGATGATGGTGGTGATGATGATGCTGTTGTTGATGATGAAGATGCTGTTGATGAGGATGGCGGTGATTTTGATGTTGATGATGATGCTGATGCTGATGCTGATGATGTTGATGTTGATAACGGATGATGCTGAGGTTGCTGATGATGTGATGATGATGATGATCATGATGTTGATGATGATCATGATGCTGATGATGATGATGATGATGATGATGATGATGATGACGCTGATGCTGATGATGATGCTGATGTTGCTGATGTTGTTGGTGATGATGCTGATGTTGATCATGATGAGGAGGCGAGGGACCCTCTGGGGGGCTTCTGATGCAGTTTTGGGGCTCTCGTCGGTTGTCGGAAGCCTGAAAAGGCGAGAAAGAAAAGACTGCGAGAGGTTATGAGAAATCAGTGGCTTGAACCTCCTGGAGGTTCTCTTGGAGCCCTGTTGGGGCGTCTCGGGCCGTCTCTGATGGCACATTGGGCCCTCTTAGGGCCATCTTTGCCGTCCTGGGGGCGTCTTGCCGGCGTCATCTTGGGCCAACTTGACCATTTGGGAGGTCCTCTTGGAACCATCCTGTGCGGGAAAGGCGATGGGAGCGGGTCAAGGCAACGCACGTGCCTCTAGATGTAGCTACGTCGCAGGCGACTTCTCGCCCCCCATCCCTGAGCTCCGCCCATGAAGTTTGGCTGCTCAGAAGAATGGAGGAACTCGGGGATACGCCCCCAATGCGCCCACATCGAAGACGGACGCCCCCCCGTTGCATTATCCACGAGTCTGGCCCCAGCTGTTTGATTCATCTCGGAAGCCCGACAAAGTCGGGGATTGGGGTCGCAGGGGGAACTCGGGGATACGCCCCCGATGCGCCCACATCGAAGACGGACGCCCCCCCCGTTGCATATTCACGAATCTGGGCCCAGCTGTTTTGTCCATCGGAAGTCCGACAACGTCGGGGATACGTATATATATCGATGCCCAAAGCACGAATACACAACTCAACTTTGGCCTGCCATCCAGGCTGACGAACTCATCCGCTCGGCCCATCCGTCACGGGCACCGTGCGCGCAAGCATATCGGTTTCGGCCGAGGCCACGAAACACTGTGTATCACAGGTTTTTCTGGTTTTTCTGGTCTGGGAACCAACGAAACACTGCGTATCACAGGTTTTTCTGGTTTTTCTGGTTTCTGGAGCTGAAATGCTCGCCGCGGCCTCGCCCCACCGCTCCCCCACCTCCTGTTTGTCGGCACCTGAAAACCAGAAAAACCAGAAAAACATGTGATATACAATGTTTCGTTGGTTCCCAGACCAGAAAAACCAGAAAAACCTGTGATACACAGTGTTTCGTGGCCTCCGAGCAAGGCTCTGGTTCTGGTTCTGGTTCTGGTTCTGGCTCTGGTTCTGGCTCTGGTTCTGGTTCTGGTTCTGGCTCTGGTTCTGGTTCTGGTTCTGGCTCTGGTTCTGGCTCTGGTTCTGGTTCTGGTTCTGGCTTTGGTTCTGGTTCTGGTTCTGGCTCCTACCAGTGGTTGTACTGGCACAGGGGCGAGGATTTGTGGCTGGCAACAGGGAAGATGCTGGAGGAGGCCTTCCTCAAGGAGCACTGCCAGTGAGCGGCGAGCGCTGTAGTCCCCGAGGGGTACACAGTGTTTTCTTGCTCGGAGGCCACGAAACACTGTGTATCACAGGTTTTTCTGGTTCTTCTGGTCTGGGAACCAACGAAACATTGTATATCACATGTTTTTTTCTGGTTTTTCTGGTTTTCAGGTGCCGACAAACAGGAGGTGGGGGAGCGGTGGGGCGAGGCCGCGGCGAGCATTTCAGCTCCAGAAACCAGAAAAACCAGAAAAACCTGTGATACGCAGTGTTTCGTTGGTTCCCAGACCAGAAAAACCAGAAAAACCTGTGATACACAGTGTTTCGTGGCCTCGGCCGAAACCGATATGCTTGCGCGCACGGTGCCCGTGACGGATGGGCCGAGCGGATGAGTTCGTCAGCCTGGATGGCAGGCCAAAGTTGAGTTCTCCAACAGGGAGAGGACCAGGTGGAAGAACAGAAGGTGGAGGACGAGGGAGGAGGGAGGAGGAGGACGAGTAACAGGAGAAGCAGGAGGCGAGGGGGGAGATGGAAGAGGAGGGGGAGGATGAGGGAGAGTAAGATGAGGAGGAATACTTCTCGGGTCACAGCCCGCTGTGACAGACCATGTGTCTGCGGCTGTTCGGTGCCAGCATCTCAAGACCGCGGCTTCGTGTTTTGGGCGTTTTGGGGGGTCGCTGGGGGGGGGGGACCGAGCATATATATATATATATATATATATATATATATATATAATATACACATACATACATACCCCACGTTCTTGGCACCGCTCGGACGTGTGCATTTTTCTCGGCGGGGACCATCTTGGGCACCCTGCATGATTCTGCGAATGAAGAAACACGCGCGAAACCAAACAATGCACGGGGAATGGACGTCTGAGCGATGGCAGGCGTCAGGATTTCTTATCGTCCCCAGACCCCGACGCCACGATGTCTCCACAGCGTGGGCCCCGGTGGTCTGGATCATCGTGGGCCCTGGAAGCGACAGGGCCGTTTCTTTACCAGCTCCGCTTTGCCGCGTTTTTGTCGGTTCCGACGCCGTTTTTTTTCTGGTTCCGTCGCCGTTTTTGCCTTGGTCCCGGCTCCAGTTCTGATCCCGGGGCCGTTATTTGCCCTTTCCAGTCGCCGTGTTTGTTTGCTTTTTCCGTTTTCAAGAGGCACTTCTCTGCGGAAGCGGTGAAGCAACGGCCCGGCCGCTTCTGAGGCCCACTGAGGTCTGGACCTTTCGCCCCGGGGCGCGGGCCCCTCCTCCCGAGCTGTGTCTCCGGGAGCGGAGAATGGCAGAAACATATCAAACTCGGAGGTCCCGCGCGGATCCCTCGGCTCCGCGCTGGGCCCCCCTCCTGGTGCGCGGAGCGCGCCAGGGGCGGCGCTGGAGGCGCCGCCAGGGGGGAACAGCGCGGATCCGAGGGATCCGCGCGGACCTCCGAGTTTCATGTTTATGCCAGCCTTTGCCCTGGCATCGCTCGGACGTGTGTTTTTTTTTTCTCGGCGAGAACCATCGAGGATCATCCTGGACCATCGAGCAACACAAACACGCACGAAACCGACAAATGCACGGGAAATGGACGTCCGAGCGACGGCAAGTTGCTCCCCTGGAAGTCTCCACCGCGTGGGCCCCGTGGTCTGGGGACCCTTCCACCCCCCAGGCGCCGGCTCCTCCTCCCGAGCTGCGTTTCGACGGCCCCGGGGCCCCGACCAAGGCCCCCCCCATTACGGGACGCGAAAACGACCACAGCCACTGGTTTTCTTTTGTTGCCGCCTTCCAGCCAGCAGAAACAAAGCAGTGGTTGTGTAAATTTTTGTTGAGCATGGCGCCAGGGAAATGACCACAACCACTGCTTCTTTTTCGGCCAGCTGGAAGGCGGCGCAAACAAGAAGCAGTGGCTGTGGTCATTTTCCCGTCCCGCACCCATGGAGGCCTCCACTGGCCCGCACGGCTCTCGGCCGTGTGACTCTCTTCCCCGCGGCGCGAGGGTGCCTCCGCCAGTGGCTGCCGCATAGCCGAGGCGCTCAAGCAAGGGCCACTTCTGCTGGGCTCGTCTCGATTCCTCCACTTCGATTCGATTGGGTTTCGATGGCTTCCGATTCCGACTCGATTCGATTTGGGATTCCGATTTGGGCTCCGATTTCCCACTGGAGGCACACTAGCCTCCCGATTTCCGCCGTCTCGACTTTTCCCGACTCGGCTGCCGATTTCGACGCGTGCATTTCTCTCGGCGGGGACCATATTGGGTTGAGTCGGGCTTGTCCCTCTACAGGAGGAGTACTCCCAAATAGTCAAAAAATAGTCAGGGGACGATTTTCTGACCATTGTTGAGGATTTGCTCGGGGTCTTTTTGTTGATCATCTTTTATTTGTCGTCCAAAAGTCCGCCTTTAGGGGGTCACGCCCGACCTAAGACAAGGGCCGCTTCTGGTTCAGGAGGGGGGGGGGGGGCGGCTGTCGGGCCGTGCTCCCCGCCTCTCGGTCGGTGGGCTTCTCTCTTCGCGGCGAGCGGCGGCGAGCCCGGGGGTGAAGGCGACGAGAGAGGGGGGGATGGCAGGGCCTCCTCAGAGGGCGCGCGGGGCTCTGCAGACGGCCCCCACCTCCGCGCGCCTTTGGAGGAGCCGTCCGTGGCTTCGGGAAGCGGGCCCGCCAGGATTCTCTGGGATGGGGCGGGGGCCTCCGAGGAGCCCCGCCGCCCTCCGAGGAGGCCCGTCGATGGTCCTCAGGACGCGCGTCAGCCCACTGTGCGTGGTTTCCCCGCTCAGCCCCACGGGGGGATCATCGCATCACCTGGATCGCCCCGAGCGGTCTCGATGGAAAAACACACGTTGGCGCTAACCCACGTTCTTGGGATCATCGAGCCTGCCCCCCCTCGCCTTCCGCCTGCGCCCGCCGCCGGCTTGTGGTGGTGCGATGGTTTCACTGCGCCGTCGCTGCACGACGGAACCAGGCAGCTGTGACTGCGCAGTTGTTTCCCGCCCGGCTCTGGTCGAGGACGTGTCTAATTAGTGACTTCTAGATTCGAGCCTCGGTGGCTACGCTTTGCTCAGCAAGTTCGGAAGAGGTCCATGCATGCATGCATGCACGCATGCATGCACGCTTGCAGTTGCTTATGCAAAGTGGGTGCAATCGCGCGCTGCAATGGCAACGATGCTCGACACGTTGTCTCATCGCCTCGACGGCGAAACCTGCCCCCAGAGACGGACCCAGACATCCTGTCGCTCCTATTTCTTCGATGCGTGGGCCCCAGAGGTCTGGACCACTTCCCCAGGGCCGGGCTTTCGCCCCGAGTAGTTTTCTCGTTTCTGACGGTCCTGAGGCCCGGCGAGGCAACTTGGAGGCCGAGAACGGCCAGAAGCTGGCCGCTATCACTTGTTCGGAGCGTCGGATCTTTGGGGAGAGCGGGCGCCACCAGCGTCGCCGAGGCGCACCTGCGGGCGCGGACGGCGGAGGAACTGAGGGCCATCGGGGAGGAGCTGGGCCAGTTCTGGCAGCACTTCGGCGCCTGCGGCGGCCTGGCTGCTCCCGCAGGCGCTCCAGTGCCGCTGCCCCCCCTCTCAAAGCGGGATGGGGGGGGGGGGGGCCCTCGAGGTGGAGGAGCCACGAGGACGGGGGAACATCAGAACTGCACAGAGTCATCCCGCACCGTAGGTATGAGCGACCTTCCCAGGCTGCCCTTGCATCCTTGTCCCTTCGGCCCATCCTTGGCAACTTTCCCTTCTCAGCCTCATTCGAAAAACGCCGCGGCCCTCCAAGGCCGTTGCATCCTCACGGCGCACCCTTCTTATGCGGACTGGGCCACCAAAGAGTGGCTCCGGGTACATGGCCCGCAAGAGGCTGCTCGATGGTCTGCATCCCGTCGACGGGAAGCCGTTTCACGACATCGAGCATTTTCAGGCATTCCAGAGACACCAGAAGGCCAGAGCCTCCAGCTACAGAGGCTGAAGGCCATTGCGTTCGCCGACTTCGGAGCGGCGCACCTTCTGCCCATGAGCGGAAATCCTTTCCAGGGGGTCTGTTCGGATTTCTCGACTCGGCGCGGGGTCCCCGCCCTCCCGGCGTGCGGAGCGCGACGCCAGGGTCGGCGCCCGAGGCGCCGCCACGGGGTCCCGGCGCCGATCCAAGACCTCCGCGCGGGGTCTCAGAGACACATGTGGTGATGCAGTTTTTTTTTTTGCCTCGGGGGGGGAGGGCGAGGATGAGGCCTTCTCTCCACTTTTCTAATCTACTTCCCCAGGTGAGAATTATGACCCGCAGCCCAAGCACGGTGGCGGGATGGGGCGAAGGCCATTCGATCCGCCGCCCCCTGTTGATTCATCAAAGGGGTGCCCGGCGTGCCAGACTATATGGGTTTTGGTGTTGGCTTTTTTTCCAAAAGAACTCCCCCTGGGGCTTCGGCCCGTCCCGCCGGCCACCCAAAAAGGCGCTCAAAACGCATCCTTCGTGCCTCTGTTTCCTCCAGTTGGCCCAAGATGGTGTCCAAGACGGCCAAGATGGCCCAGGATCGCCCCCAAAAAGTTTGCAAGACGGCCCAAGATGGCCTCCAAGACGGCTAAGATGGCCCCAAAATGCCTCCAACACGGCCCAAGATGTACCCAAGACGGCCTACGACGGCCTAGCAGGCCCGCAAGAGGCCTCCAAGACGGCCCAAAAGCCCTCCAAGACGTCCTGCAGGAAGGCCCGAAAGGGCCGACATCATTGATTGTCCTTAGGTTTCTGAAGGATTTTGGCATTTGCGCTTTTTCGGCTTTCTGACGGCCCAAGACGGCCCAAGAGGCCCCCAAGATCGCCCAAGAGGCTTCCAAAAAGGCCCCATGACGACCCAAGTGGCCTCCAAGACGGCCCCAAGAGGGTCCCAACAGGGCCCAACAGGCCTCCAACACACCCAAGATGGCCTCCAAGACGCCCAAGATGGTTTCCAAGACGGCCCCGAAGAGCCCCAAGAGGGCCCCAAATCGGCCCAGAAAGGCCCCCAAGGCTGCTCCCGACGGCGTCAGACGTGCCAGGAACCAACCAAGATGGCCGAAGTTGGCTCGAAGCTGGCCCAAAACGGCCCAAGAGGCCCCCAAGAGGGCCTCCAGAAAGGCCAGAGAGGAGAGCAAATTGATGTTCCGTAGGTTTTTGACGGATTTTGTCTTTTGCTTTTTTTCGGCCTTCCGACGGCCCGAGACGGCCCAAGAGCCCCCGAAGATCGCCGGAAGATCGCCCAAGAGGCCTCCACAATGGCCCCAGAACGGCCCAAGAGGGCCCCAAGACGGCCCCAAGAGGCCCCCGAGACAGCCCAAGAGGTTTTTAAGACGCCCAAGGTGGGCCTCCAGAACGGCCCTGGGGCATTCCAAGAAGGCCCCAAGTCGGCCCATAGAGGCCCCCTAAACGGTTTCCGACGGTGTCAGACGGACCAGGAGCCTACCAAGACGGTTGAACATGGCCTTAAGATGGCCCAGGACGGCCCAAGATGTCTGGCGACCAGGAGGAGTACGACAGGCTCCTCGCCTTCGAGAAGAAAGATATGCTCAAGCTCATGGCCGAGGCGCGCGCTGCAGCGGGCGCGCACGGCGATGCCGGGGATGGCGCCGCTGCCGCCGCCGCGGGCGGCGCGCCAGCTGGCGCCGCGGCGCCGGCCAGTCGGGCGGCCTTGGGGCCGCGCCCGAGGACGACGAGCCGCCGCGGCGGCGCCGACGTCGCGGACGAGGAGGGCGTGTTCGGCTTCGGCGGCGGCATGGCCGCGACCGAGCCGACGCCGCCCAAAGGGCTGACGGCGGCGCGGAACGCCCGCGTGGAGCAGCTCATCAAGTCCGAGACCAACACGGGCATGATTGTGCCGTGGCAGGCTGGCGCTGCCCCGGGGCCGAGCGGCAGCGCGAGCGCGCCGAATGGCGAGGCGGCGCCCGCTGACGCCGCGCCCGAGGTGCAGCCCCAGATCGCCGGTTGCCACGGCGCTCTCCCTGAGGAGGACCATCGCGAGCAGATAGCGATCTTCCGCGGCCTCGCCAAGGCCCACCGCGGCGCGCACGAGGACCTGGTCACCCCGCCCAGGAAGACCAGGAAGACGGGCTTGGCGTGCGGCGGGCCGCTCTCGCCCGTCGACCTCCAGGAGCAGCGGGCGATCTTTGCGTCGATCGTGTCGCAGGCGCATGGGGAAACCATTGCGATTTACGACGGAGACGTCGACTTGGGCGCAGAGATGGAGGCCATGCTCGAGGCCGATCTGCCTGGTGGCGATGCCGAACAGCTTGGTGGTGGCGCGGCCGAGCAGCCTGATAGCGATGCCGAGTGAGGCGCGGCGCGCTCCCGACGTTCTGAGGGGCAGGGCCTCTCTCTGGCGCGGTGGGGGCAGCCAGCGGCCAACGCTGCCCCCGCCGCTATGAACCGCCCGCGCACACCCCCACTGCCTCCTGTCGCTGCTAGTGATCAGGCGTCCTCAGAGTGCGCGGGCATCTCCGCGTGCGTCTGACGGATCTCTCACTGCTGTGCCCCGCCGCAGCCGTGCCCGCAAGTGCGTCGTCATCGTCGACGCTGCCTCTGCGCCTCTGCGCCCCCTTCCATATTACGTCGCCGCTGCCGCTCGGGCCTCCCCAGGGCGCTCAGAGATCCTCCAGGTACTCCGATCGCGCCGACGGTTTCCATTGGAAGGCCTCGCAACGGGAATCATGTGGAAAGCGCCACAAGGGGATTCCATTGGAAAGCCTCGCAACAGGAATACTTTGGAACACGCCACAAAAAGGATTATAGTGGAAAGCCTCGCAACAGGAATCCTGAGGGAAAGCGCCACAAAGATATCCGAATGGAAATCCCCACAGCAGGAATCCGTTGGAAAGCACAACAAAGGGATTATATTGGAAAGCCTCACAGAAGGAATCCTTTGGAAAGCACCACTGCCCACAAACCATACTATGCGCATGTTTTTTGGTGGTCTGGGATGCTGCGAGACTTTTCTTTCTTGGGGTTTTTAAGGTGTCCGCGCATATAGTGAGGTTCGGCGGCAATCGACCTCCTCCAGAAGAGGGCGGAGGAGGAGGGGGAGGAGGGGGAGGGGATGCATGGAAGAGGAATATGCATGATCAAACTCCCGGATCAAACGATCAGCGCAGATGTTGGCTTTGGTGGTTCGGGGGCGCTGGGGGGGGGGGGGGGCGACCATGTATATATATATATATATATGTATTTATATACATATATATATATATACACATAGATTGTCAGTGCTTGCGCGTGGTTGTCTGTCGCCGTATTTCCAGCGCCGTCTGTTTCTCTGTAGTTCCTCAGCGATCAGGAACCCCGCGCCAGCCAGGGCCGCGCGGCGGCGCAAGCTCCGCACGAGGGGCCGCGCCCGCCAACGACCCCCCCCCGCCGCCCGGTGTGTTCTACATCGCAGCAGCGCGGCGGGGGGGGTCCGCGGCCGCCGCCGCCGCCGCGGTCGTCGCCCCCGCTGGGCGCAGCAGCGGCGACAGCGCGCCGGGCTGAAGATGCGCCATCGCAGCCGCTGCCGCCGCAGCAGCCGACCCCCGCGAGGGCAGCAAATGCCCCTTGCGAGCGCAGCAGCAGCCGCAGCCGCAGCCGCAGCCGCCATCGCCCGCCGCGGTCCAAGGGCAGGGGCGAGCCACAGGATGACTCCGACGTGGAATGGGTGGACCCAGCAGAGGGGGGTGCGGAGGGCGACCCTGGGCCGCCGCCGCGGTTTGTCGGCGATGTCGTCGCCCGCCACGCCGAATTCGAAGTTGCTTTCGAGCAGGCCCTCGCGGCGCCGCGGGCGGCGATAGTCGCTTGGATCGCCTTCGAGCAGGTCGTGGTCCAGGAGGGCGCGCCGCCGCCGGCAGCGCGCGGCGTCGCCATGGCCCGCGCCGAGCACGAGCGCAGCTGGCGCGCGGCCTTCGAGGCGTGGCAGGCGGAACAGCAGCAGCCGGGCTTCGCTGACAACGGCGCCAGCAGCGATGTGTGGAGGCTGCTGGAATCGGGCCTGTGAGGATACACCCCCTGCCGGGGGGTCGCATGCCGGAGACGGTGGAAGAGCGCCGCGGCCGGATTGCGGTGGTATGCGGCTTTCTCGTGCACCGCCAGCTCTTATTGCGATGGTTTGCTGCTCAATCTGCCGCGCTGCGTCGAGTGAACCATGGGCCCCCGTCGCCCGAGCTGGAGACCGGTGGCAAAAACGAGGGGCCCAGCCCAGGATCATCGGACCAATCAGCGCGGTGGACTGCTGCGCTGACTTGATGACTCGTCTGGCTGCCCGATATGCTACCTGGCCTCGCGCGGAGTCGCCGCGCGCTGCGGTCGCCCCCCCCGCGTTCGATCGAGCCGGCGAAGATGGCGCTGCAGGGCGAGCTCGGGAGGTTCGACCAGGGCCTGAGCGCGGGAGCGGGGCATGATCTTGCTTTGGCGGCGCTCCTTGCCGGCGATCCTCGCCGCTATGCCCGTCGCTCGGCGGGGCGGCTGCTCTCGCGGGCCAGTCCGCGCCGGTCAAGTGCGACGTCGATCTTCGCGCGTTGCTGGTCAGGGCGAGCGGCGCAAGGCCATTGCGGATGGGGCAGCTCTCTCCAGCGAGTGGGCTGTGCCCGGCTGGTTCAGAGCGGCAGGCCTTCGCGCGCGGACGCGGGCGCTGGAGTATGTTCGAGACAATGGCGGGTTTTTTTTTGCCGCCAATGATACCGTTTTCCTCGCGAGCAAGGTCGCCGCTGGGGACGGGGGCGTCTGCGAACGCAAAGTGGCCCCCTGGGCGCCGTTCGCCGCCGCGTCGCAGGACCAGCTCAACCTGCTGCCCCTGGCGTCCTTCGGGCTGTTGTCCAGGGGCATGGCGCTGACCCGACAGGCGCGCGCAGGCTCAGCCCGGCCCAGCTCGACTGCAGCAGGGCAGATTTCTTCGCGGGCTGGAGGGCTCGCTCAGGAAGCGCCGCCGTCGCGCCGCAGTTGGCCGCCCGCGTCGCCTTGGAGGCGCGCCGGGAGTCGGCCATCCCGAAGGGGGCCCGCGAAGCGCGGGAGGAGAGGCAGCAGCGCCCCTTGCGGCCCCCCGAGGGCGCGGGCCAAGGGGGCAACTGCAAGGCCGGCGGGGGCCAGAACCCCGCAGGGGCCTCATGGCGCGTAGAGGGCTTCGGGGCCGGCAGATGGGCGCATTGGCCCTCCCGGCGAGGAGGCCCCGTTGCGCCGTGCGCCCCGGTCGCGAGGGAGTTTCACCGCGCGACCTCTTCCCTCTTCCGAGGCTCGATGACGCCCTAGCCGCTCGCGAGGGCCAGTCGCGCCCCGTTCAGCAAGGGCTGCAGTTGCGTCGCGCCAAGTGCCAGCATGCAGACGCCATGATCGACTCCCTCAACTGGCTCTACGGGGGTGGGGGCTGTCTTGCCAGGCCTGGTGTTTCCACCAGCGCTGCGCAGCGTGCAGCCCGGCGCGTTCTGCGTCGACGCCCGGATGCTGATGATGGTCGTCCCGCTGCCGACTCGCGAGAAGCCGCCCGCGTGCTCCTCCTTTCTGACCTCGGCTACGACGGTGGCGAAGCCCTTGGCCTTGCGCGCGCGAGCCGACGGCGATCCCAGAGCCGACGGAACGGCCCCCGACCGCGGAGCAGCTGCTGGACTCCGAGGGCGCCGCTTGCTTCGGGGAGTTCGGCACCGCCGCGATGCGCTCGACGATGGCGAGTTTGGCAGGGTCTGCGAGGCCCGCGCTCCTAGGAAGCCGTGCACGGACACGGTTCTCGAGCGCTCCCCCGCCAAGCATGCCACCTTCCTCCGCTCGCTGGCCGCGAGCGGGATGCCGGCGTGGACCATGGCGCCAAAGGGCAGCATCATTCCTTTTTTCCCGGAAAGGACCGGTTTAGAGGTTCCCCTCCGGTTTCGACGGCTGTAGGGCCGGCGAAGTTCTTTGGCGATAAATGACGAGGTCGCCTAGGGCTGGCGAGTTGAAAAGTCGAGGATGTCTCGAGCAAAACGCTGTTTTTGTTCCAAAATTTGTTGAGGATGTCTCGAGCGAAACGCTTGTTTTGTGTTATCGATTGTCCTCTCCTGGGGGTCTGAATTCAGAGGATCTCTCAAGTGACATGCTTGTTTTCACGTGCCCAGGTCTTGAGGACGTCTCGAGCGAGACGCTTGGTTTCACGCCTCCAGGTTGCACAGGCAGAGGTCTAGCGCCAGGATTTGTTGAGGATGTCTCGAGCGAGACGCTTGGTTTCACGCGTCCTCGTCGCCCAGGCGGATGTCTAGCATGAGGACGTGTCGAGGAAGTCTCGATCGAGACGCTTGTTTGCACGTGTCCAGGTTGCCCAGACGGATGTCTAGCATGAGGGTGTGTTGGGAACGTCTTGAGCGGAACGCGTGCTTCCACGTTTCCAGGTCGCCCAGGCACAGCACAGCCCTCGGCACGGTACATCAACATTGATACCCTTAGCATTGCAGCCTGGCGTGTTGCCTGGCACGTTCCGCGGAACATCCCGTGGCGAGTCCCCCTGGCACGTCGCGCGGCACGTCCATTGCCACGTTCCGTAGCGCGTCCCTTCGGCACGTCCCGCGGCGCGTCCCCATGGCATGTCCCCTGGCACGTCGCTTGGCCCATCCCTGGGGACGTTCCGCGGCGCGTCCTCCTGGCATGTCCCCTCTGTCGATTAGTTCTGGGGCAGCTACCATCTGCTCAGGCAGCTCGAGCTTAAGATCCAGATCAGTTCGGTCAGGATTCGGATGCCAGGGAGGACTCGATCCACAACGTTAAATCGAGCACAATCGCGGCATGGTACATCGCAGTTCAGCACGGCCCAGCACAGCACAGCCGTCGGCACGGTACATCAAGATCGATACACTCAACATTGCGCCTTGGCACGTTCCTTGGCGCGTTCCGTGGCGAGTCCCCCTGGCACGTCGCGCGACGCGTCCCTTGGCACGTTCCGCGGCACGTCCACTGGCACGTTCCGTAGCGCGTCCCTTTGGCACGTCTCGCGGTGCGTCCCCATGGCAGGTCCCTTGGCACGTCGCTTGGCGCGTCCCTTGGGACGTTCCGCGGCGCGTCCTCCTAGCATATCCCCCTGTCAATTAGCTCTGGTGCAGCTACTATGTGCTGAGGCAGCTCGAGCTTAAGATCCAGATCAGTTCGGTCAGGACTCGGATGCAAAGGAGGACTCGATCCACAACGCTATAGAGCACACTCGCGGCATTGCACATGGCAATTCAGCACGGCCCAGCACAGCACAGCCTTCGGCACGGTACATCAAGATCGATACACTCAGCATTGCAACTTGGCACGTTCCCTGGCACGTTCCTTGGCGCGTTCCGTGGCGAGTCCCCCTGGCACGTCGCGCGGCGCGTCCCTTTGCACGTCCCGTGGCACGTCCATTGGCACGTTCCGTAGCGCGTCCCTTTGGCACGTCCCGCGGTGCGTCCCCATGGCACGTCCCCTGGCACGTCGCCTGGCGCGTCCCTTGGGACGTTCCGCGGCGCGTCCTCCTAATTAGTATGTCCCCCTGTCAATTAGCTCTGGGGCAGCTACTATGTGCTGAGGCAGCTCGAGCTTAAGATCCAGATCAGTTCGGTCAGGACTCGGATGCAAAGGAGGACTCGATCCACAACGCTATATAGAGCACAATCGCGGCATGGCGCACAGCACAGCACTCGGCACGGTACATCAAGATCGATACACTCAGCATTGCATGTGCCCGTCTCCCAATCAGGTGTCTTTGAAACGCCGCCATGCTTTACATTTCTATATTCCTTTCCGGGTTCGTGGGTCGATCATCTTTTGTTCAGAAGAGCGGCGCCCTCAGGGTCGTCTGGGATTGCCGCGGGGTCAACACTCGTTTCTGGGCTCCTCCTGCCATGGGCTTGGCCAGCGGATCGCGGTGGGCCGACGTCTCGGCCCCTGCTGGTGATGAGCTGCGCGTGGCGCAAGCGGACATATCGAACTTCTTGTACTTCTTGGGCATCCCCTGCGCCCTGTCGGAGCACTTCGCGCTGCCGCCGAGCGAGGTGTCGCTGGCCGCGGACTTTGCAGAGCTGCCGGGCTGCAGTAGGCTGCCGCCCCTTGGCTCGATGATCGCGCCTTGCCTGCAGGTCGCGCCGACGGGTTGGAATGGGCGACGTGGATCGCGCGGCGGGTGGCCTACCAGCAGAGTTTGGAGTCCAAGGTCATCGCGCCCGAGAGGGCGATCACTGATTAGAGGCGCGTCCACGAGCTGGTGCCGGGCAGGGCGCCACGGCTGCCTTGCGCCGAGAACATCGGCGCGTTAGCCCTGGATCCGAGCCCCGCGGGTGACATCCGCGACCAGCTGTAGCGCCATCTTGAGGAGAGGGGTTTCGTGGTTCACGGGCTGGTGGGCCCCGCGACGGATGCCGTCTCCTTGGGCTACCGCATCAACCGGGCCACTCGCGCGGTGACGCCTGCGGTCCGCGAGCGGCAGCTGCTGGAGGCCGCGGGCCGCTGCCGGGCCGCCCGCGGGCCAGCGGGCGCGAGCTGGAGCGGTTCGTGGGTCATTGCGTCCATATCGGCTTGCTGAGGAGAGAGTTCTTATCAATCTTCCAGCGCGTCTATTCCTTCATCCGTGCCCATCAATCGTCGCGGGGTCGGTTGTGGACGAGTGCAGCTCAGGAGATTCGAACTTTCAGCGTCCTGCTTACGTTCTGCTTCGCAAGACTGGACAAACCATGGGGTCCTAACGTTGCCAGTTCAGATGCCTGCCCCGGTGGGCATGCGGTGTGCCCAGGAACCCATCGACCCAGGACGTCTGCCAGGCGGGTAGAGTCAAGGAGAAGTCTCGATATCGTGCTAAGGTCCCCGCAGCACAGGCTCGCGAGAGGGCTCTCGAGGACCCCGACGCGTTCAACGACGTTGCCGCCGTGCCCCCCCCCCCCCCACACAGGTCGACAAGGAGACGGATGGAGCCAAGATGATAGAGGAGAGACACCCGAGTTCCAGGAGGTCCCTAGAACGTGGCTTGATCCCGAACGGAGGCAATTGCAATACGCC